CCTATCCCCTGTGTTGCCTTGGCAGTCTCAGTATTCTATAAAATTGTGAGAGGAATGCAAAGTTTAAAATTGTAAAATTTGTAACATACTTTATGTTATTTATTTATTTTTAATTCTTTGTATTTTCTCGTATTTTCAATTTAGTTTTCTTGCTTTTATTTTCATTTTCTTTTTTTGCTTATGTATTGTAGATATGTTTTTACTTGTAAATGAATATGTGAGGGGCTACTTATCAGACCCACATACTCCATTCTGCATCTTTATAAACTATTTTTTCCAATCATTTGGATGTTATACCTAAAATGCTCTTCACAATTATAAAAGCTAAAAGGCAAGCAACGAATAAAGGTGAAAAAGGGGAAAGCATGCCATGTTTATAGTATACAATACTTGAAGGCTCCATTTCCTCGATTGAATGATAACAGATACATTAGAGTGAGGCCACAAGGGCATTCACGAGGATACAGTTAAACCCCAACCATATCTCAGTTGAGACATGTGGTGTATCTTGGAGTATGATGTACTTTGCAACCAATGGATGATTGTTTCTCAAATTTTAGACAATATGAAAGTAAGTTAACATAAATAAATAAATAAATGAAAAGAAAAGAAAAGAAAACTATCAATAGATTGTGGAGAAACTATGGTTTCTCCCTTAGTTGTAATGATTGACAGCATTGGAGAGAAACTTGGATGGCCAAAACAGGACACGGCCAAATGGTGAGCCCCCGTCTCTTAGCATCACCATCCATCATTTCAATGGACGGTGATCATCCAAATGACTGGTCTTTCCATGTCCCCTGCATTATAATATACTTTCCCTATGCATTAGTTAATTCTAATATGGGTATATTTTCCTATTATTTTTTGCTCGTAGTTTTCTTAGTGGCGTGGGCTTTTTGCCAGTCTGATACACCAGCTCATTTCCTCATCAGGGTTCAGGTACTTGCAAATAGTGGCATTGCGTCGGCTTTGGTATTGTTCGTAGGGCATTTGACAGGATGGGAAGAACCTACTCTAAGTTCAGAGGGATCCCCACTTGTAAAATGTTTGATTGGTGGGATCATTGGTCACTATGCCTGCTGCAATGGAGATACATGGTCGTCTGAAGTTGGGATGCTTAGTGAATCTCAGCCTCGACTTATCACAACCTTCAAGGTATGGCATCTGATGTTATGTATTATACATTGGGCAATGGATTTCTAAGATCATTGAAAATTGGGTTCTCAATAAAATTGTGACTAAATACCTTAAGACCTGTTTGCACACTTGAAACTGAGTTCTAATCAATTGAGTTGAAAACCCCAAGACCACTTAGACCCTTGTAACAGTGTTTCTTAGTATACTCATTTTAGGTGCACTCAATACCACTAGTTACTTGTTCTTTAAAATCATTTTAAATGGAGGTCTAGCAAGTGTTTTTAATTAAACTTGACAGCGCATTTATCATGGTGACTGATTGAGAAAATCTTGTTAATGCTTCACTATTTTCCGATATTATTCTATAATGTTTAGATTGTTTCTAGTTTGTAGCAATTATAGAAGAGAAATAGTGCATGAAAGAGTATTTATTGGTTGTTTAGAGATTATATCAAGAAAAGTTTATATACCCACACACACCACACAGAGAGAGACACACACACATGTATATATGCTTGTTTATGTGTAGGCCTTTGAATGTCGGAGATAGTCGATAGAAGGTATGGATATGCAAGAAACAAACATTAAAACTGCACTTTAAATGGATATAGTTCATTAATTCCATTAATAATCAGATATGGATATGCAAAAAGCAAACATTAAAACTGCATTTTAAATGGATATAGTTATCATGTGTATCATACACCTTTGTAACTTATATTATGCATTTATGCAACAACCAAATGTTAAAACTGCATTCTAAATGGTTAAAATTATCATGTGTATCATACACCTTTATAGCTTATATGACCTCAAAACCAGCTCTAGTGAAAACTAGAGGTGCACACTTCCTATAAAATCTATTTCAAGTTGTATAAATTTCAATAAGATCATCACACATTTAGATCTCCATTTGTCAAATGAGTTGGGAAGCAGTAAAGTAATTAAAAGGGAACTTGATGCTCATCTATATTGATTTTTTTATAAATGAAATTCACTATCATTGTAGATGAATAATGGGAATTAGTTGACTTATTGGCTGAATGAGAGTTTGTTGATTCTGAAGTTGCTGCTTTCAAAAACAATTGAAAGACTGATGTTTATTTTGTGGAAATTGTCTTTGTTCTCGCTCTCTCATATTTTCGTCATTTGTTGTATCCAGAGTGTCCCAAAGGGTACTAATGGTGCTGTGACGACAACAGGACTCCTTGCAGCGGCAGCAGCAGGCTGTGTGATTGGCCTAACCTATCTTTTGGTTGGATTCTTCACAGGTGATTACAGAGGTCTAAAGCCACTCCTCGTAATACCTCTCTCTTTATTAGCAGGAGTCTTTGGAAGCCTAATTGATTCTGTTTTGGGCGCAACTGTGCAATACAGTGGCATCTGCCAAGTCCGGAAGAAGGTAAGAAACCATAACTTTATTTCCTTCTATATGAAGGATGGCATACTATAACCCAATAGAACATACAAAACCATAGTCCATCCAGTCAAATGAAATGGTGGACGGTGATGGAGAGTGGTATCCACCATTGTGATCATCTAGTGGGTCAGATTATCTCTCTTTCACAATCCGTTATTTCATTGGACAGTGATGAGTCGAGGACTATCATTTTCCATTTTTCCTTGGTACATTGGGGTATAATATACTCTCAAGCACACTCACACAAACACATAGACATACACGCCACACATGCACATGCACTCGCACTCACGAATGTGCACTCACACAGGTGTTTGGCATCAGGTTAACTATTCGTAGGATTCTCCATATGGGGGTAGTACACTCGTGACCCACTAGTGCAGGTCGAAATTAGTGGTTCCCAACTAAGGATTTGTCTCTGATTTTGAGTTAGTCTACTAAAGAGCCTTAGTGGTTCACTCAAAGGTAAATTACAGACATAATTAGTTTTAAATTTTATTAAAAGGGTTATGGATATTAATGAAAATAAAGAGGTAGCAGATGGTAAACTATTCATAACATGGAAATGATTATGTAGAAGTCGTGACTAACACAAATAATGTAGGCAAGACCTTCTCATCCCTTCTCAAAGATGGTATACTAAACTGGCATGAAAGGCTAGCTGGTTGAAATCCCTGTGTCCTCGAAAAGGGTTCCTAGTGTAGCCATGGTTTGTTTTATACATTGGAAGCTCGAGTGGGATAATATGTCTGTGTGTGTGCATGTTTGAGAGAGAGAGAGACAGATTTCGTCAAAACTACAAGGCTAAATTGAATCTTTTATTGTTTCTTCAAGGTAAGTTGGATGTCCCCTAATACTGATTTTGTACTTCTATATATCGGCAGGTTGTCGGAAAAAAGGGGCCTACAGTGAAGCGGATCTCAGGCAGTGCCATCCTTGACAACAATGGCGTCAATTTTGTCTCAGTGGTTTTAACCACCTTCGTCACTGCCATTTTATTTTTGTATGTCTTTTGAGAGAAACCTCTTCTTCTTCTCCTTATATTCTTTCAGTTGAATCGGTAGGCACCTCTTTTCAAACGTCAAAAATAAATGAATCACATCTAAAGTGCTGCTGACCCCATTGTACCCTTACTTGTCTTTTGACACAAACCTCTTTTTTTCTCATTTCATGGATTATTCCTTATTGTCAAATTGAAAAGAACCACATATGAAACTTGAAAAATATGCATGGAACCTATTCTTGATGCTTCTTGCTATCATCTTACTTAGATCAATGAATTCTCAACAAAGTTTGTTGCCCTAATAAGATTTTTCACCCAAGTACCACCTGTATCATTTTGTTAAAAAATGCACAAGATGTTCTAGTTCTCGGTTTAGAACTTTGAACAAGCAGGTGTATCTTTATTATTTTTCCTACTGTAGTGGGCCCTAGTCGTCCTCTTGTTCTGAGTTACAAACCTCGGTACAACAAAGATATTGTGATAGAAAAATGACATTTTATTGCCGAATAAATGTCTTGAGTTTTGTCATTTGAATTGGGCCTCTTATGCGTTAAACATCATAAATAACTTATTCTGGGTTCCAAAATTGGTACAAGAGATTTTAATTGAAGTACTCTCTTTTTATTGAAAGCACTTCAATGGTAAATAGTTTGAATTTTTCGCTTTTTTTTGTCAAGTTGAAAGTAGCCTTTTTCCAACTTTCATGAATAGGAACTTCTTTCTAAGCTGCTTTTAACCACCTTTTGTGTCATTATGTCTAGTGAGAGAATCCTTCAAAAAGGAGGCTCATCTCAAGCTTCAAAAACATATGTAAGTAAAAGATGTGCCTTTCCATGTTAGGTGGTCGTTGCGGTGCTTGGTTGACTGAGTTGTGGTACATCAACTCGGTCTTGGGTGTTGTGATCTCCGAGGCAACTCGCAAAATATTTTAAAATTTAAAAATAGAGATATTTAAAATGTGTTTTTAGATGATTTGATGATTTTGAGGATGATTTTGGAACTTTTTTTATCGAATAATCCTGATTTTTTTAGAAAAATATTAATGATATAGCTGAAAATTTTAAATAATATGTTTTTCATTTTTTATAGTATTTTAATGATTTCGATTACTACTTTTAATTCTGACTTATCTTTAACAAATTTTTTTACCTTTTTTTTGTGTTTAACAATTTTACATGGTGTAGATTACTCAGGGTTGAGTTCTAGGCCGAGGTTTTCTTTTCTTTTTCTTCGTAATTCAGTGGGGAAGACATACTCCTACCCGTATTTTCAAGTAGATTAGGAGTTAGCTTTTTGAAAGTATTAATGGGGTGGTGTTAGTGATGGAAATGGAAACCATAATGTGGTGATTAGGGTGTGGGGTGCTACCATTACGACCCCAACACTTTTCCCAAACTTGGTAAATCAGTGGGTATTTGGGTACCATTTGGTGACAATGGAATCAAATACCTCACCTTGGGGCTCGACAGTACTACTGCCAAGTTCCCAGGCCATTTTTAGTCGAGATGATTAAGAAAACATTGCTTTCACCATCCTTAATCAGTGGCTGCTAGGGGATATTAAATAGCATTTGCTAGGGCATATTAGATGATGAATGAAAGGAACATTATTCGAGATCTTTCTCCTTCCTCACAGCACACAATCATTGAAAATATGCGTTCTAATTAGAATTTTGAAACAGCATTGTGTTCTGGTAATTCTCTATTCAATTATAGTCTCCTTTCAAAAGTTACATCTTCAAAATTGATATTGAATGCCTCAATGTTCCAAAAAAAGGAATAAATCTGTTGATAATCTCGATGGCCACAATTATAAATCTAGAAAATAGATTAAACATAGATTACTTAAAGCTTAGCTGTGAATGTTTGCTCGATTTTATACTTTATTTTTATTAATACAATTATTTTAGATTTTAAACTTTTATCAATATAAATATTTTAGATTTTAAATTCTAATTTGCCAAGTCGTTTGTTTTCCCCTATTCGAATGTGAGCAATGAAACATGGACACGCATGTCCGAGGGTCTGACCATCCACAATACTTGGTGGACATGGGCAGGTGAGTCGACCCTCTAAAGATGCATGACACTTTATGGAGTGTCCAATAGTGTGTTTTTTGTGATGCCTAGTTGCTATTGTCCAAAGCAAATGTGGCCTTTCTTTATTGTCTCTCTCCTGCTTTCTTGTAAATGCTTGGATTGTGAGGAACCACTTGAAAATATATTTTCTTAGTTGTCACATTGTACTATTGCATCAAGCAACTTACATGCTATTTGGAACTTTTACAGATGAAATATGCTAAACATCTGTGGATTTCAATTCCATAGGAACAAATAAATCAAAAAATTGATGAATATCATCCTGTTCATATTGTTTCACCCATTGGATGCTGATACACAGTCCATCATTTTCAAATAGTTTTTTGATATGTTATAAGTTGTTCTACTTCCCTCACTTCCTCATCTAAACATGGACAGATATCTTCCAACAAATTGGGGTGTAACCCCATGACCAATACCTGTGATAGTGTGAATCATATAAATAGATCGGTTGTTTTCAATATAATAGACTTCACCAAATTGGGAAATAGAAAAAAAACTGTGACAAAACTGTAAAAGTAAACCAGTTAGATCAAAGTTATTATGACTTGGATCAAAGTATGTATCATGGGCATGCTGCATATCCAGGCCCTACAGCAAAAACCTGCTTCTCCACAACAATTTATTGAGATACGGACATCTGCTTTGTTCACACAATCACACCTGTCAATTGTAAGAATTTTAGCATTATTTATATTGAAATTGTTTTCAGCCAGTTTTTCATGCGCAGGCTGAGTGAAGAAAATCTCTTCAAATCACTCATTAATCTTCATCAGGTTACCACATGCAGTAGAATTTTACCACAGAGTAACAAAGAAGAACCGATTTGTTTACTAAGACCATGATCTGCAAGTAACATATTGTTCTGGTTAACATACTCCTTTATTATTATTTTTATTATTTTCTTTCTTTGGTTTTTAAAGCATGCAAGTCCAAATTACAATAAAGGGAATTGCAAAGATTCATTTTTTTTTTTTTTAGGGTCCAATAGAGAACATTGTCACCTAACCACATAGAAATACAAATATTGGACAATACATAATCGATTGCGAAGTGGTTGTCAAAACAAGATTAGCTTGCAACCCTCTAATCCTCAAATTGTTAGTTTTGGAGTCTTGATACATAACAAAGACCAGTTGGTTAGAGATCATGTTCTACAACTGTTTGTTTTTTTTTTTTTGTGGGGGTGGTGGGAAGGGGGTGTTGAGGATTGATGTCTTGTATTCTGAAGAAATAGATCTATCAAGGTAGAGTCAAAAGGTCAACTCTGGAAGGCCGAAGGTGGGACTCAGATTGCTTTGTAATCAAAGAGAACAGAGATACGTGAGGAAGAGGGCTATAGTAACCCTATTATCCATTGTTAGTAAAGAAGCTCTCATCTCCCTTGGACATAGGCACGTTGCCGAACCACGTATATCTTTTCGTGGTGGTTGGTTGTTTCTTTCTTTTGTCTTTGTTTCTTCTTTTCGTTTCTACAAATTGGTATCAGAGCCTACAAGCTTATTCCGTGTTCTTGGGTTTGCTACCACGATTACAGGAAATGGCTCAAGCGTTAAGTATGACATTGAGAGGTTCAATGGAAAGAACAACTTCACTCTTTGGTGACAAAGGATGAATGATCTTCTGATACAGCAAGGTCTAGCTAAAGCTTTGCTAGGGAAATCAAAGAAACCGTCAAAGATAGACGATGAAGAGTGGCAAGAGATGGTGGAAAAGGACGTAAGTGCGATTCGTCTGAATCTCTCAGATGATGCATTGCGTTATGTCGTGGATCTCAAAACTGCTCCGGAGGTTTGGACAAAACTAGAGAGTATCTATATGACAAAATCTCTGATGAACAAGTTGTTCTTGAAGAAGCAGTTGTATTCTCTTCAGATAGAAGAAGGCACGGATTTGTTTGAACATCTCAACGAGTTCAACCAGATCATAAGCCAGTTAACAAGCCTTGAGGTCGAAATCGAGGATGAGGACAAGGCCCTACTTCTATTAGCTTCACATGATTACGTGGTTATGACTCTACTGTACGGGAATGAGACTCTTGAGGACGAAGTCACTGCTACTCTTATGTCAAACGAGAAAAGGAGGAAGACTAGCAATATTAAATCTCAAGGAGAATGTTTCTTTGGAAAACACAAAGAGAGTCGTGAAAGGGCCAAATCAAATCAAAGGAGGTCTGGAAGCAGAAGTCGGTCAAAATCGAAGGGGAATGGCAAGTTTATTTGCTATTACAACAAAAAGGAAGGTCATATGAAGAGAGACTGCCGAAAAGAAAGGAGGATATAAAAATGATAGAAATAGAAAAAACATCTGATGAAGCTAGCGTGACCGATAGCTCTGATGGAGATGATGGAGATCTTCTCTCTATATCTTCAAGTCAGAATCAATATACTGATTCTTAAATTTTAGATTCTGGTTGTTCTTTTCATATATGTCCAAATAGAACATAGTTCGAAACCTACAAATCATATAGTGGTGGGTCTGTTCTAATGGAAAATGATGCGGTATGCAAAATCATTGGAATATGAACTATCAAAATCAAGATATTTGATGGGATAGTATGAATCTTATCAGACGTGAGGCATATCCCACAATTAAAAAAAAACTTAATATCCGTGGAGGCTCTTGACTCGAATGGCTGCAACTATACAACAACATATGGAGTTCTCAAGGTTAGTAAGGGATCTATAGTTGTCATGAAAGGTCAGATAGTTGGGAACCTGTACAAGTTGATAGGGAATATAGTTACAGGTAGAGCTTATGTAACCACATATGTACAGTCCAGCACAGATGACACAAAATTGTAGCATATTCGTTTAGGGCATATGAGTAAACGAGATATGATGGAACTTCATAAAAGTAAATTGTTGAAGGGTGTTAGAGCCTGTAAATTGGATTTCTGTAAGTACTGTGTTTTTAGTAAACAGTGCAAGATTAGATTCAGAACTGCAGTTCATACGAGCAAGGATATACTAGATTATGTACACACTGATGTATGAGGGCCTTCACTAATAAAATCTAAGGGTGGGGCAAAATACTTCATTACCTTCATTGACGATTACTCAAGAAAGGTTTGGGTCTACTTCATGAAACACAAAAGTGAAGCATTCAGGAAATTTAAACAATGGAAAGCAGAGGTAGAAAAGAAGA